AAAAAGAGAGAACTACTCATCCCAGTTCCTACCATCTCATTGTTACCTCAAGAAAAGTACCTAATAATTTGAGAGATTAAGAAAACTACACACCAGGATCAAACAAATTAAAACAAAACATGCCTCTGCTCAAATACATAATATAGAGATAAATTCTAGCAACACTTGATCATGAGAAAACAAGCACATCTGTTTACAATTTCTTTCTTTTTTCGTCTTCTTTTTCCATGGCACAACGCGCTGGTTACGTAAGCTTAAAGCTTCCTTCAAGATTATTAGAACATCAGGAAGAGAATAAATTCAGAAGATGCAAAAAGAAATACAAGAAACATAGAACAGTGCTGTACACAGATTGCGACGGTTGCTGCTTATGGTAAAGATAGTGGCTTTCTTCATTCATCCGACCCATTGCTGACCCTTATCTCTAAGAGCCTATCGACCGGTTGCCTGCAAATCGGGCATCGGTTTGTCTGGAACCTCAACACCTTAGCACACCCGCTGCACATGCACTGCAACAAGAAAATAACAAGATTTATGGCTGCTCAAGACTTGTCTCTACTGTTCACAGATAAATACAGGAGAGAATAGTTTTGCAGGCATAAAAACATTTTTCAAACTCCAAAGAGCTATTAGACACAATCTTAGACTAAACTCGTAATATAACCCAAAAAAAAAGATTGAGGGTGGGGGATCAGCAGTCACATAGCGTACCCCCAAGAGGGAGATAAACAAATCTAAGAAGCATGTCTGGAATTATTTATCTTGATATTCTTTTCATTTTCCTAGAATAGTGTAAGTAAGGTAATTAAAGAGGACATTATCAACAGTACAAATTTTGCAGATAGGAGAGGCATAATACTTGATTAATGATCATCAACAATAAACTAGTAAAGAGAATGTAATTACCATGTGTCGGCAGGGAAGGACGGTTGTATCCCGTGGTTCTGACAAGCAAATGACACATTCCTTTCCAGGATCATTTCCATCCACGTCACTCTCGACTGAATTGCCAATTCCATATATTTCCTGTAGCTCATATCTCATACCATTTACCCACAGGATTTGTTTCAACACTCTCACCTGATATTCACCTTTATCTTTCTCAAACACTGCCTGGGTTATCTGAGAGTTCATGGTCTCGGGTACCGGGGTACCATCTGGCCCAGTTTGGCAGTCAGTGGAACCCTCAGCTTTTACAGCCAATGGATAGACATCTGTGTCGTTTACTTTCAGTAATTCTGACTCTTCGAACTTCGAGAAATCTATTCCTGTTCCAGAGGGCTGTCTGAACTTCTGTCCAAGGCCTTCTTCGAAATGGACAGTCACTGGTTCAATAGTGTTCTCTTCTTTCATGGGTGTCAAGTTGCAATGTTCACCTTCTTTCGCAAAGAAGAAGATGGTGATACTGTTTCAAGATAAAAGAAACCCAAATTTTCATGCTAGCAGAAATCCAGGACAAATCTCATGTAAAAGAAACAAAGACATTTAGATGTATAAACAAACATCATAAGAATCACAGGAAAAATTACCCCAAAATGAAGGATCAAGTAAATTAAAAAGAAATTATAAATTGAAAGGATCACTAAAACAACGACAGGTGCTAAAAAAAGTAAAATAGACCCTCTGAAGAATGTTTTTAATGGCTCTTGAGGCTTCCTAAGGCCCCCCATAAAAAATTTTCAAGTCAAATGACTTGTGATATCTTTTAATTCATATAAGACTCACACCTCTTACAAAAGAGACTATGCCTCTATGAGAATGCATCGAGGTTTGGAATATTTGTACACTATGGAAACAGATAGAAGAATAACATCAATTTATTGCGTTCTCTTCAAAATATAAAAGTCATTTTATGTACGTCATACTAATACATCATGGACTGGAGTAGTTCATTGTTACTTACACCTTTAAGACCTGAAAGGGCCCCTGAAGATGACAATTTAAGAAAAGCAGAAAAAGTCACTACTCGACCCATTAATATAGTGATATAGAGAATGAGTTAGAATATTTATTCAGAATGTGAAATCTTTTATTTGAACTGTTATATGACCATTATATTTAGTGAACACAGTTTTACATTACCATGATTCTGTCAAAAAACATCTATCAGCCAGCCCAAACATATCTAAAATAATCCGGCATCAATGCCTAATGTGATTTTCTTAAAAACCAGAAAACACCTGCAGTAGAGGTCATGATGTGTTCAAATTCAAGTCCAAACTTTAGCTTTTACGACAATGTACACCTGAAGTTGACTCAGTTTAGTTTTAAGGTCTCAACGATCTCATTGATCTTTCTGTCATCTCTAACCATTAAAAAAAAACTTCTCCTTTTCATCACCACCAGAGACAACAGCTATGTTACAAATTTAATCACTAAATACATTCGAAACCAGAGCACATAACTTGTTTTAATCATTATTAACAATCTTGGAGGGCTAATTAAAATCTACATAAGACACAGGCAGCAGAAAACTCTTTCATGAAAACAAAGTATAAACCGTGGCAACTTAGTCTAACCATCCTTGCTCCTCAGTATCAGAAAAACCAAATCAAATTATGACCCAACTATTCCACAAAATCATCATCAGATAAATTGAATTGACAATCACAGAAACAAAAGGGAAACAAAAGCTCCAAAAATTGAAGTACCTTCCGGCGACGGTGGCATCGAAGGTGAACGCAACGAGGAATTGGCCGGGATTTTCTTCATCAGGCTCGATCCTGAGAGTTTCCTTCTTCAAATTGACATCATTTCGTATGGTAACCGCCTTCTGGTGCTCGACATAGGGCGTTTGGGGAGGCATAGGAGGGCCATACGGGTACCTCCCACCGACCCAATGCGCGGGATCCATGTGAGGATGGGCTCCGCGATGGTGGTGGTCATAAGGCGCCGGCAAGGGCATCGGCATAGAGGGCGGCGGACCGGGGGGCGGCGGAAAATAACCGGGATACTGGTAATATGGGGGCGGGTGATTGGGATGGTTAGGGTATTGCGATGGGTAAGGCGTGGCGGCGGCGAATACGTAGCGATTAGTGGCTAGTTCGGGCTGCGGTGGCGCCGGCGGAGGGGGAGCCGGGTGGCTGCGACGGGTAGCGTGCCTCCTCCGGCCATTGGAACTGCTACTTCCAATGTTACCCATGAAAGAAAAGGGAAGAAACGCGAAACCCAATGAAGCCCAAAAGGTAGAAATACAAAGCGAGGTGGAATTGAAGACGAAGATGGTTTTAGATGGGATTTGAACGGCGAAATCAGGAACGGAATCCCTCAAATTGGAATTGCCAGATGAGGAATTGGGAAATTGGGGAATTGGGAATTGGGAATTGGGGAAAAGAAACAGAGAAGAGAGAGAGGAAATTGTGGCGTGGTGGTTTAGTGGGTGGCGCTGGCGATGGCGATGGCGGGTAATGAGTTAATGGGATTGCGTAAAGCTCCACCCAGAACCACAACACCCTTTGCCGATGCGATGAACAACCCAAATATGTGATTTCTTATCTCTCTCTCTTTTTTTTTCCTTTTTTTCTATTTTTTCAATTTTTATCCTTGTGTATTGATTTTACTATGAAAGTAAAAAACGAAAAAAAAAACGAGGATAAAATAGACACATATCCAAATCTTTTCGAACCAGTTCATTTTGAAACTTCAACTACTAAATTGACACCTACTTCCACCAAAAAGTGTATTTTTTTTCTATGGTTTATAATAAACTAATATATTATGTTCTAATTAAAAAAAAATGATTAAAGTTGTTGAATGCGTGTTTAGTAATATATTTGTAAATAGATGGTAGTTACTGACTAAATATTTTTGTTCAATTTAAAATATTGTTACTTGATATATTAACATATGTTTTGTATGCCACAACGAGTATAGCTCAACGGTAATTGACATATATCTTCAATCAATAAATTGCGAGTTCGAACGTTTTTGAATCTATTTAATTGAATGAGTTTGGAAATAAAAAGAAAATTTAAAATTTTGAAAAGTATGATACTAACAACAAAACTTTTATTTTAAATGTAACCGTTACTTGATTTTTTGCTAAATTAATGTTAATTGATTTATAAATTAAGGTCTTATTCAGCAATTGTTTTCGAGTTTGGCAATAGTGACCACGACAACTAGTGGCAGATAAGTGATTTTGCATTAAAAATTTATCCAACAATCTATCAATTGGTCATCATCGTCAATATGAACATTATAGTTTGATAGTGATGTTAAAGTAGTCCAATTTTTAGAATATTTTTTTCCCTTTTACTTTCATCTCTAATTTTTTTTTTCATATATATAAAGATATATTATAAATTAAACTAAAATTATATAAAAGTTATCAGTTGGCCTATAATAATGTGTGAATTTAAAAAGGATTTGAGACTATACAATCCTCTTCTTCTCATGAATGATGAAATCAAGAGAGGGCCTAAAAAAGTAAAGTGGGAGAAAAAAAGAGCGGTAAAGAGAAAAAGAAAATTATTCTTTTTTCCACTAATGAAATTATTAAAAACAAAAATATTATACCCTACCAAAACCATAACCATCATTTGAACAATTGTCTTTATTCACCACACCAACCCCATTTTGCTTCTACTTAATTCATACATCAAATCATTTCCTTCTACCTTTTTTTTTCCTTTTTCTAATAGACCCATTAATACCATCAAATGGTAGATTTACGTTTAACTGTAATACAATTTAGTCTATGAATTTTATTTGGTAACAGTTTTTTTTTTATTAAGTAATACATGTGGGATAGGAATCGAACTCACAACCTCTTAGTTGGAGATATATGTCAATTACCACTGAGTTATTCTCGCTTTGGTAACGATTTAATTTTACTTTTAAATCTATAATAATTTAGTTCCTAAATGCCAACATGAGTGTAACTGTGTAGTAATTGGCATATATCAATAATTAAGAAGTCACGAGTTTGAGTCTGCATTCCTACTTGTTGTAATAAAAAAATAAAAAAAATAGTTAAATTCAGTATAATGAGTTAGTAATTGATTGGCATATATGAAAAACCTAATTAAATGTTAACACATTTTTTACGATAGGAATTAATTGTCACAGGGAGCAGAAGACTGAATCGTTATTTTATTTGAAGTATATATGGACAAAAGTGATTTTTAACCTATTTGTAATTATATTTGACCTACTTTAGTGAATTAAGGAATGTGAAAAAAAATAATTTTTTTTAGTACATGGGAAAGAAAATAATTAAACATGTTAATAAATTGGACCCCATTAATATTTCTATATATAGGAATAGTACATATTACGATACATTGTACTTTTTCTTTGTGTGTGTCAATTTCATTCATCCAACACTCATTATCCATAAAATCCATTAGAACTAATAAACTTAATATAATTACCAAATGGAAACTGATTTTTTTTTAATGATATAAAATTAAACATAATTATTTAAATATAATTATGTCGAAACCGTTAACCCTGCTGTCCCTTTGCCCACCCACAACAAATCAATTTTAAAAAAAAAAAAACTAAATCTAATTTTGAAATTTTAAGAAGATTTGTTTCCATATTATATAGAAAATAAGGCAATTTGTGTCTCAATTCTAATTATTAAAATGAAAAGTTATCTAAACCAAATTTAGTTTCAAATGTTTTCTTTTTTTCAATGAACTACGTCTAATTAGGCTCACTAGTGATTGACATGTATCACCATCGGCCCCCCACTCCTACAAAAAAAAGATGTTTAATTATAAGAAAAAACCCAAATAAATTAAAATCGGATCAAAATAGTATTTAAAGCCTAAATTTACTAGTAAATATAGGGTTAAAAAACACTTTTGATCCTTGTACTCTGGCTAAACTAACAATTTAGTCATTGAACTTTAGTTTGTAACGATTTAATCTTTGTACTTTTAAAGTTCCTTATATATATAGATTGATAAACTAAAAAATGACCAAATATGTTTATAATTAAAAAGATTAAATTATTATATGATAAAATCTGACACTTAATTGTAATAAATTTTTTTTACAATAGGGACTAAATTGTTACAAATTTTAAACTATAGAGACTAAATCGTTACTAGTTAAAGTTTAGTGACTAAATTGTTAAATCGTTATAAGCTAAAGTCCATGGACGAAAATGTGTTTTTTTAACCTAAATATAGTAATGAAATGATAGAAAAGTGTAGGAATGGGCAATGGGTTTTTTTGCGCTTTGTTGGGCGAATCAAATGATTTCATGCAACGACCAATAAGTAGAGTCCAAGAAAGCTACTCCCAATCATCAATCTTTTTCTATAGACCCACTCTCTCTCTCTCAACAAGTTTGGTTGAGCTCATCTTACCCACTGAACAAATATTTTATTTTACAAAAGAAAAAAAAAAGAAAAGAAAAGGAAACAGAGCCACGGTTCCAGATTTATTTGAATATATTTTAATACGTAAGAACAAATTAAATTGAAATATCAACACTTGTAAGATAATTACATAGTGAATGGGGGAGAATATAGTGATTTTATGCCTGCTCCTCTAGTAGCTTGTGTTTTGTATAACAGTTTCGAAAAAAGGATTTATGAATATTGAAAATTTAGCTGAATATTGAAAAAGTACTTCTAAAACAAAGAATTCACGAGTATGCTTAATTTTAAAAACACAAATCAAATAAAACAATATTGTTATCATACATGATGTTTTCAGCCAAAAAAAAAAAAATCAAGAGTGTTTTTAAAAAGTGGGAAAGAAACAAATATACATATATTATAGCGAAAATTTCAAAAAGTAGTTTCCGGATATAGATTTTGGATTGATAAAGAAGAACCCTAGAATTTGATTGAAGAACCGCAGTTTCACGTAGGAATATTATAATGGGAGATCCTTGCTTTTGAAAAAGAATGAGAAGAGGAAAGAGGGAATAACAATCTTTTTCCCAGTTTTTTTTTGTTTTATTCCTAAAATAATAAGAGTTATATCCCTTGATTTCTCTTGGTTCTGCAAAAACCTTCCAACCCGATGACCCGATCCAGTCAAATTTATGGGTTGGGTTGGGTTGGGTGTTGCATTAGGTTCACTCAAGTTGGTGAGCCGATCAACTCGAATCTTCGAGTTGGTCTTGGTCCATAAAATATCTCTAAACGGGCCTAACCCAAACTGTGTACATCCTAAGTAAGAATTTCAAATTTCAGTGTTTTAAAAAGAATTGGGAAAAAAAATTACGAGTAAACAAGCTTTTTTTTTTTTTTTTTATCTAGGCAAATCAAACTCATTATCATTCAAAGAAAACATAACAGTTTACAGCATCTCCCTACCAAGTGTTGAATTATGGGATACCTCATTTCCATTCAAATCTTGATCCAAATTAGGTTGGACCCAACAATTCTCTTCCAATCTCTTGATTTTCTGATCTCCCTTTTTTCCTGAATTCATAAAAAATCATCAAGCAATCAATCAAGACAAGACAACAAGAGGAAATTGGCAGTTCATAAGCATCCAAGCTATTCAAACATAGCACCGAACATGGAATGAAATCAAAATCTTATTCAACAGAGCGCAGTCTGCAAAATACTGACTGATCCATACAAAAGGAAAGGATTCATCTCCACAATACACGTGCAGTTTAAGCTGCTTCCAGGCACCACCAAAAAGAATAACATAATTTAGAGGTTTTTACTGCCACCTTTATGATCAAGAAATTCAATATTTCACGGTCACCACATGCTTCAGGAGCATGTCCACAACCTCGTGTGAAATTCTTGCAGACTCTTCTTTCAGGTGATGAATCTTTTCATCTGTCTCGTGTTCGAGCCGCTTGACATTAGCACCTGAATCTCCGCTGCTCTAAATGACCAAAAATGATGGCAAGATGGGGAAGCAAGGTGAGCCGAGTTAGCAGACATATTAACATATTTGGAAGGCTTTTACACAGCAAGAGAAAATGCATAATCATAATAATTCTATCCTGACCTCATCGAGTTTCCTTTGGAACTCAGACTCCACTTGGGCACGATATGCAGCAATTTCCTTTTCAGCCTCTTCTTTAGCTTGTTTCAGTCTAGCCAATTTTGCTTTAAAAAACAGGAAAACCAAGTCATTGAGTTATAAAGTAATATTTGATTTCACCAGGTTCATAAAGCAACAAGAAAGAAGTATATCAATAGTGGAAAAAGTGGAGAGAATGATCCTTCTTGACGCTTCACAAACTCATGTCAAGAAAATTATGAACTGGAACCTACATCTATTAGAGGAAATTGATCTATTTGGACCAAATCACAAATTTATATGCATATGAATTTTAAAAAGGTATACCAAAACCCAAATAAAACAAGAGCAAGATTACCATTTCTGGCAGCATTGACAATGTGTTGAGCTTCTTGCTCTGCAGCAAGCAATTGTTGGATACCACCTTGACCCCTAGTTGCCATATTCTCCTACAAAAGAATATAATATTTTGTAAACAAAATATAAGTAAAAGAAGGGCCTGAATCTCAGCATAAAGACAACCTGATTAGAAACTATGTTGCTAAATGCGATCCAGACATCATCATTATTATCACTATTCACTAATTGGATTGAACCAAATTTTAAACCCAAATCTTAGTAGTTAAAGTAGTAACGGACTGACTTATCACAAGATCAGCTCATCCAGTATTAGGAATCAACAAATAAGTGGACTTGTACTTTAGATAATATGTCAATGTGACTCTTCCAGCATCCATAAAAGCCACGAGGCCTATGCCCTAGACTGATGGAACCTTCCTCCTCTAAGAAATCAAACAAGCCATAGATCTCGAGATTTATAATTGGAATTCAAAGGTTGGTGGCTCAAGAGTCTTTCCAAACATTGCTTGAGAATCGCCATTGTTTCTGTTGCAAATAAGTATTTGCAGCTGGCTTGTTTTTGTGGAGTTATTTGGTCTATCTCAAGTAATCCAAAACTACTCAATAAAATCTAAATTATAGATATCTCCTCCTCTAATATAGTCCGAACTCTCAACCTTCTGTATTTATATCGTTAATTGCCCAAGAGAAAAAGTACAAGAAAGTGAAAGTTCAAAACCAAATCAATCTCAAGTTTTAATAGCTTATATAGCAAATCGTAAATCAGTTGTATGCGTCAAAACTAAAAGCAAGACTGAGAACCTACTAGTCCTGCAAATCAAATCAAATCAATCTCAAGTTCCAAATTCTGAAACCTAACAGTTAATTCCAGTTGCAAGTAGCAGCAACGTTGGCCAGGCGGGACGGGGAGCGGAGCAGACCGATTAAGCGTATATAACAACGCTTTTCGATTCCTCCATGTCCAAATCTAAGAAAATAAAGAGATCACCCTAATAATAGAGTTCTGCTATCCATCCACAAACCAGAAACCAGAAACCACAAAACAAAAGGATCCGGCAACTCAGATCTCAGCGGTAACCACTGTCGGACACAAAAATCAGCAGCATAAAAAGAAAACAGAATCGCCAGTGTACAAAGAGAGATACTATAGAAAATCGATCACACAGAAAAGAAATATGAAGTATTGAACAAGAGTGAGCAACTGTAATTTAAATTCCGAAACAGCGGATGGAAATTAGAATTGGTTGGGAGATATGATCCGTACCTGTAAAGCGGAGATTCGCCGGAAAGTGGTAGATTCAGAGGAAATCGGGAGCGATGCGTTGAAGAAAAAACGAAGAAAGGGGCGAGTTTTGTGCTACCGAGGCTTTAGTTTTTATCTTTACAGACCAAAACGACGTGGTCGCGAGGAACACGATTCTTCTTTACTACACTATGAATTTACTTTTGTCAAAATAATAATAATAATAATAAAATTTTTTTTGCACCCGGGAGGTTGTGCCGTGCAAAAGACTTGGATCTTAATACTTAAAGATTCAGGTTCAGAAATAAAAAAAAATAATAATTATTTTTATATTACCATTCTAAATTTTAAATTAACAATTTAGTTATATTAGCAATTTAACACAATAATCAATTGAATAATTAATATTAAATATTATTTAACTAAAATCTGATATATACATATTTAGCAAAATTATATATTTGTATAAAGTTTTAAAATCAATCAAAATTAACTCCCCATAATTAATTTACATTAATTAATTTATCTTTATTAGGTTAAAATAATTATTATTTTAAGTAATTATATTTTAATTTAAGTTTCACTCTTTAATAAATATATTATAAATAATATATCTAAATTTATGTCGTTGATTTTATTTAGCAATCAATCCTAATAATTATCATTTTATATGTTTAACAACATTCATTTTCATCTTATTAATTGCATCAATTAATTACATTTTTTATATAAAAAATAAATATATGCTTTAACAAATTAATTTATTACGATAGAAAAATTAGTACATTATTGATAAAATTATTTAAATATTTTAACTAATTTGAATAAAATAAAGTAAATAATTACATTAAAAAATTATTTAAAAGAGAGATAAGAGTATGGCACAAAATCCATATGCACACCCATGTGAATTCTATTCTAGGAGGGAAAAGAAAACTCATGTCCATTGGAATAAGGGATGTTTGGGAATAGCTAAGAAGAGATTTCAAATATGTGTAACAAGGGCCTTACTTGCCATGTCCATTCCCACTTAGAAAACTCCCAACCAAATGGCTCCTAAAGGTACCAAACAAATCCCCGGAATAAAGTTTCTAATTTTTCTTGTAAATTTTTAAGAAATTGGTAGAAAATTTGATTTTTCATCTAACACTATAGGAACTAAAACGTATAATTAATCCGTGGTATGTATTTAGTTTTAACATTATACTCTGTAAAAATAGTTTTGATTTTGTTAAATCTTTCGAAATATTTATGTTGTCACGAGTACACAAGTCTTTTTTAGTACCGGTCCTACATAGTGAAATAACTTGAAAATATATATATATATATATATATATATATATTTTACTTCTAAGTTTGGCAAAGTGAGTCATATAAGTAAAGTTAATTTCAATCCACATGAGATATCAAAAAGTCATGAGTTCACTTTCTATCCTACTCTTCTACCCTATCGGTTGAATTTAAAATAAAAAATAAAATAAAGAGAAAAAAAAAGTAAGTCAATTTCATCAAAATGATACTAAACTTGCACAAACTACTCAATTGTTACTTTCAATTCCCATACAAAAAATTCCATGAAGTGCACTTTCTCAATTCATGAAACCATCCTTTTATTTTTACAATACATGACATTACAAATGAGAAGCCACTAATGTCTACCCAATACTATTGTGGGCAATGGAACTATCTCTTCAAATAAATAAAAAATAAAAAATAATAATGATTTTGATCTGTTAAAAAAATCAGCTATCCTTTTAAACTCATTTTTAATTAAATTACAAGTTTGACCACTGAACTACTAAAGTTATGTCTAATAAATCTCCAAACTTTACTCGAATAAAAAGTATCTAACAGGTTCCTAAAATGACCCATTAACTGCAAAAAGAGTTATTAGATATCTTTTTAAATTTGAGAGATCCTACTAAACACGATGACTCTGAGTCTAATAATTTATGATCAAACTTGTAATTTAACCTCAAATTTTAATTACTCTTACTAGTGCTACCATAATTAACTACAAAACATATATTATTTATATAAATGCTTAATTAGAATTGTGGTTTATAATTGTTTGAAGTGTGTAGGTTTAATTTCTAGTAGCGAGACGGCGGCGAGCTTCTGAAAGAGCCGAGCCTTCTGACGGCGGAAGCTCTGAGAACATATTGGTAGTACATGGCGGCGATGGTTGCTCCGATCAGTGGTCCCACCCAAAAAAGCCACTGAAATTAAAACCCCAATTAAATTAAACTAAAGCTAAACAAAATTAATTAAGTGGATGATTTAATTACGTACTTGATCTTTCCATATTTTTTTGTCGTTGATGATGACGGCGGCGCCGAAGCTCCGGGCTGGGTTGATTCCGGTGCCGGTGATCGGAATTGTGGCGAGGTGGACCATGAACACCGCGAACCCAATTGGGAGTGGAGCCAACGCCTTCATTTTCATATTCAAAAAATTAAAATTATATATATATAATGATGAACGAGAGGAATATATATATATATATATATATATATATATATATATATATATAATCATTAATAATGGAAGAGAATTTGAATTATGTTTTTTTTTCTTTTTCAGATTCAATGAATTAAATAATTTTTGTTTGGTAGATTTGTTTTAAAAGTTAAAACTGTTTCACATTATGTCATCTAAACTAAATAGTGTAAATTTTGAAAACATTTTTAGTATTTTCAAATTTTAAAATAAAAATAAGAAATTTTTTTTATTTTTGTTCAAATTAAAAAAGTATAAAATATAAAATATTGTACAATTATAATTCTACAAAATTTATCATATATAATATTATTCTACATTAAACTAAATATTTAGTTCATAACTCGCATTAGTTTACAAATATATTATTAAACACATCTACTGAAAATAAATAATATAATTTTTTTTCATTGAATTCTATTTTCATTCTCCCATTGCTACTTTCACTTCCTTTATTTATATTCATTTCGAATTTGATTGTTATATTATAAGTAGATTAGGTTTCTTACCGGAACATGGGAATCTCTGGCATTCCGTTTGGGATCAGTGGCGGAGAAGACGGTGTAAAGGAGGATGAAGGTGCCGACGATCTCGACGGCCAAGCCGGTGCCTCTGCCGTAGCCGTGGGCGAGTCGGTTGGCGCCGCCGCCGTAGCGGTTGTATTGGTCCCTCTGCAAGGTCTTGACCAAGGCGCAGCCACAGATGGCGCCTACGCACTGGGCAATGATGTACAACAAGGCGCGCACCAATGAAATCTTTCTCGCCAAAAACATTCCAAATGTCACCGCCGGATTTATGTGCCCTCCTGCCCATTTTCCAATTATAATTCTAATTCTCAAAATACCTATTTTAATATATAAAATAACTCTTTTAATTTTTAAGATTTTTTTAGTCACAGACATGTGTCAATTATCATTGATTAGTTGTCATTCCTTCTTTTAAGAGTGTAAAATCGAACTATAAAATATTGAATTTTCAATTTAATAGGTAGGAATAATAACAATGCCTATAATAATTATTATTTTTAGAGTTGGTAGGTTATAATAAGGTTATAATAAACATGGTGTAAATTTAGTGATTAAAATTGTTCTCTTCTCTATTAAATTGTAAATTTAGTCTTTAAACTTTCAAAAAAAATTTTAAGAAAATAATGCGTTTATTTAATCTATACACAAAGTTAATTTTGGGTATAATAAATTTACGACATCAACTATGTTAGCTTAATATTTATATGGCAATTAAGTGTTGTATTTAGAGATTTTATTTAAAATTTTGTTTGCCACGTAATACTTAAATAAATTAATGACAATGACTTTTAAGATTCGAACTTTTGACCTAGATAAGAAGCTAAAAAGAAACCTATCCTATGAAACTAAATAATAACTATGACTCTGAAAACTTTGAAAGTATATTATAAAATTTTTAAACTATATTCACTAAATTGACAAGACTCCAATTTAACTTATTTTTAAAAATTTCAAAAACTAAAATATACATTTTATAAAACCTTTGGAAAATTTGGAAAAGTTGAAGAAGAAAGAGAGAGAGAATTTGACCAGAGATTCCGGCGATGCAGTAAACGAGGACGAAGATCATGCCGCCGAAGACCCACGAGACTCCGACGGGGCCGACGCCGCCGCAGACGCTGCCGCCGCGGAGCAGGTCCGTTTGGGTCTTGTAGCCGATCACCGTCAAAATGGTGACGTACAGGAACAACAGAGTCGCGACGAACTCCGCGATTATGGCTCTGTAAAAGGACCATTTGGTAAATTCCTCCATATCGATCACCGGCGCCGGCAGCGGCTCAAAATAGTCCTTCCGGGACGCCGCCCCCGGACCGCCGATTTCAATGTCGTTGGTCGCCATCGCCGGATTCAGCAAGATCAGTGAATTAGAGAGAAACAGAGATCGGAATTCTGAAGTTTCCCGGAAAGTTGAATTGATTAAGTAAGTGAAGGGGAATTGTGGGGAATTGGTTGTTCGAATTAATGTGAGTGATTATCCAAGTATTTTCCTTCACTTTCTCGGCATCCAAACACAAATTTTGTTCCGTCTGTTTTATCCGCATCTGTCTGTGAAGGGCTTTGTGGTTCAAAATGGATGCAAATTTGTGTACCACACCACAATTGTCTCCGAATTTAGCCGTGAGGTGAAGGAGAGCCATTTTGAACTAATGGTTTTTGGTTTAATGAATCTTTTGAATGATTTAAATTATTTGTCAAAGGCAATTACTTTATTTTCCTAAACACCAAGGTAATTAAATATTGATCTGACAAGTGGCTCACCTTCGTAACCGCCACGTAAGCATCTGTCTAGCAGGATTGTGGTACGCCTCCGCTACAAAAGTGAGATAAGAGCATAGCGATAACTCACGACGTGTACATTTTCTAAACGTAGTTATAACCCGCCGTTTGTTATTAAATACATAGACAATTTATGTATATATATATATGTATATGCATGTGGTGTGGACATACTTGCTATACCTACCAAGTCCACATGAGGACTTGCAATAAAATTAGCTGCCATGAGAATTAATTTAGAAGGTTGCTGATTTTGAGGTACATAATCAACCTTCATCCAATCCTATATTATCCTAGACCAATTTTGACTTAAGCATCAAAGAGTCTTTCACTAATACTACATCGGTGTCTAGCTTCTTATACTTAGATATTGAATTTTAAGCTCTTCTCTAGCTTAGAAGAGCAATGCTCACCCTCACCAAAAAGCGTCCATCCTTAGCTACTTGTGTGAAGCACTACGTGGCACTACAAGAATTAGTAGCTTTATCGACACATAACAAGTTGTCAGACATAGGTCTTTCTCCCGACGCTTTTTATGTCGTCGTGATAGGCAAGGAGCTCTTTTGAGGGAGAAGTTAACTTTTCCCGATATTTTTTAGAAAGGGTCGGAAAACGTCGAGAGAAAAGTTGGGCTCACATGTAAATAGGCCAATTTTTTTTCGACGTTTTTTAAAAAACGTTGGGAGAAGTTTACTTTACCTAATGGGAGAAATTTCTACCGATATTTTGATGCATCAGGAAAAGTCCGAATTCTTATAATGTGGCTTGTCATTGTAGCAAGATCAAGCTTAACTAGCGTCTTACCAGAACATTGTGTTTAATTTAAAATATCATTTTTTGTAATGTACTTTGGAAGAACATTGTGTTTAGTTTAAAATATCATTTTTTGTAATGTACTTTGGAAGTTATTTTATTAATTTAGTCTTGTTCTTTCAACTATTCAAATTTAGTTCCCGTACTTGCAATAAATCTTAAAATTAGTTCACGCTATTAATTTATTATTAACTTTTCTTAGGAATAATTCTAGTCTTTATCAATCTTTCCTCTAGAAATTTTGGAAACGTACCAACATTGGGTCTTTTCTTAGATTGAAATTATTATTAATTTTTGCTAGGTTAGATAAAAATTATCGTCAAAGTAGCATGAGGACTAATTGTAAGATTTGTTGAAAATATAGGGACTACTTTTCGACATTAGAAAGTACAGAAATTGAACAAAATATAATTGACAAATAATAGAAATAGCACACATACTACTATATTATTTCAAATTTTTCGACATCTCATCTATTCAAGTCGCCTGTCACTTAAACACTGTCAACTAATTAGTTACGAAGAACTAATGAGAGCTTGGACAAATTTAAAAACTTATTGTAACTTGAATGAAGAAGCAAAGATGACAACAAGAGAGGGCATGATGACCAACAAAGTGCATACATTGTTTCTAGCCCCTATGTTAAAAGGGAGAAATAAATTTCTCTTCTTCAATCCCATCCTATTAAATTAATCGTGGAATCCATACTCTATTTCCATACCAAAAGTACTCATCATTAAACAAAAGTGGTAAGATCGAGTTTAGGTTCGAATGAATGTGACTTAATTAAAATGTTGAACTCAGGTTTGTCTTGTGAATTTGTCAAGCTTAAAATTTGTCTACCAAAATTGGGTACTTCAAACCTACTTTATCATATAAATTTTCCAAATTTAAGTTTTCTAAACTTACACTTACTACTCCAAGTATAAATTTTCTAAACCCACCTAATTTCTAAGATTACAGACTATACCCAAATTACACCTAACCTTATCTTGAAGCACCCATTAAAAAACTGCAGCTCCTCCAACCAGATTCCTTGCCTCTGTGTTTCTACCACCATTTTGTAGGCTACACTATTTTTTAGTAAAATTGGTGAGACAATTGAAGAATTTCCAAGTCATGAGCCCTACCACTATATAATCAATATTTTACTAAATTGGTATTGCGTCAACTCTAGCAATACGTCGAACTCCATATGTGAGATAACCCGACTAGTTGGGAATTTTTTTTTTCTTCTTTTTTTGTGTTCATGGGACTCGAATCTCAAAGCTTTAGAGAGGTAAACCAATTCAATTATGCTTTGGATAGGTTGGGTCACAATCAACCGACACATTTAAGAGAAAATTTGCACGCAATTTCAAGAAGAAAAATCAAAATCATATTAGGTAAGGAAAATAAAACAGCCGGTTGAGTTGAATCATGGGCCTCACGGCCCATTTCGATTATTGCTTGGCCACGTCACTGTTAAAACGCACCAACTAAAATTTCCACACGTAAAGCTCACTGCACGACTCAAATCATTGCCACACCACGCCGGTAGCCGGTACGTTTCGTGAGAAATCGCTGCTTCTAACACGTGTACTTTTATAATTAATGGATAAAATCAACTTTAATATTGAAGTTTTAAATTAATTTTATCAAATAAAAAGTGTTAGTGTATCGTCCTTTCCTTCATCACGTTCAGGCTCATGATATGTAATCAATTGATAGTTAAAACTTTGAATCCATCTTCAATATCAATATACGAAATTCGTCGGAATTCGAATATCAAGCCAAAACGAAAATCAAAATCTAGAGCACCGAACAATTTCGCCTCCATTCAATTTATTCAAACTACTCTCCGGTAACAAAAATACTCCGGACCGACAATTACCGGCCAATCTCGGAATCAAGAATAAAACCAGATTGAAAGGAATACAAGAGCCAAGAAAATTCGAGATCTGTAATCCGCAGCACAAAACCTAATCGCAATCGCAACCTTGCGATTAGTCTCGAGCAGTAGAGTGTAATCGCGGAGAATCGAAGGTTACCTAATCGCAATCTTCGGAATCGTCCTCAGCAATCGTCTCTAAGCGCGGAGAATTGGAGGTTCTGGTGGGAGAAATAAGAGCCGGTGGAGCGACCTCGATCCAGGAGCTCAAATTTCTGACGGTCTTCGCCATGAAAGCGACGAAGCCCGATTGTGCAACCCAAAGAATGTGGAGAGAACGGAAGCGGGCGAGAGAGAGAGAGTTGTGAACTGTGAATTGTGAGTTGTGAGTTGTGAACGGAGAAGAGAGTATTTATAGGGGAAGGGGAGGACTGAGCAGAGGGAAAATGGGGTGGAAGGAGCGGAGTAGGACAAGAGAAAAAATTAGTTGAAGAAAAACGCGGAGAATTTTTTGGCCCTGAAATTGTGAAGACCACGACAAAAAAACAACGTGCTCCGCTCACGTGTCACCCACCAAATTTCAGATTTTTTTGTCACATTTTTCATCTTTCCAAATCTAAGGTTTAGATTCAAATCTCTATAGCACACAAAATTGATATTGATATATCGATATCTTAACTAATTGAATTAAGTTAATCAGCCCTTATATACAACACATGTTTGGCCTCTCAATATCGATATCATGTCGGCCCGTAATGCCTCCCTTCATTTGCTTGTCATACTCAAGTTGTCAAGTTTTCTTTTACTTGTATAGACAAGTAACTCCAACTATAGGAATCCGCTTACATAAGTCATATGGTATCAATCTCGGGAAGTAAAAAAATGCAAAATATATGTTCAAAACTTCTATAGGGACAAACGAAATGTGACATTTGAATCCTTCAAATAAAAAGACTCTTAATCTAGTAACACTCACACCCATCCCAAGACCCGAATCCAAGAGACATCAAAAAAAGATATTTTTATAATATGCCCATCATGAAGTTCGAACTTGAAACCTCTAAGTTAGTATAACCAAAAGCCCAAAAACCTTGAGGCCAATTATACAAGCAAAGATCCTTCTCCCTCTTTTTATCATTCATATTAAAAGATGTTGCAAGTTTGATGCCTATAGCCTAACTCCTAACCCAACATTGCTTCAGTTGAAGATGGACAGAATTATTGGCACTGTTGATCAAGATTGCCCAACTTCTAAATTTACCTATAAGCTCCCTGCTTTTGGGGAAAAGAAAAATGTATACGAATGAAATGCTTTCTTCTTTGTTTATGTCAAATAAGTAGTATTAACTAACTCTGAACAAGTATTTGATTATGGAATAGAATAGAGAATACCGTTTGTGAACCAGTTTCAACACCATTGGCCGACCAATTCAATTACTAGCTACAAAACATAGAATAATTTAGGGTACAGTACAATAAAATAAAAGAATTTGTCTGTAGAAAGCCACAATAGGAAATGGAGTGACTTAAAATTTGATGTAATTCTAAGCATCACAGCCCCGAGTCCTCTTTTGTACTCAACACTCAATGACATTTCCTTCAGTTTCAGGTTATGGCAAACGACAAAGCAAATCCTTCGAAATTGAAGGCTTCCAACAAATTCTCAATTTTCAGGACTTGTTCTATAAATCTACTGTTAATCTGAAAACAACTTCTTATCTCTAAGGATTTGAAAAAAAAAATAAGAAATTAAAATGAAAATACCTTTCATCAATAAAGTTTGGCTTCCCCCAAACTCTCAATTTTGAGGGATTTTTCTAGAAATCTAGTGTCCTTTTAGAAAACAACTTTCTATGTTAAAGAAAACAAACTACAACTTTAAACAAAGATTTTGAGCTCGTGATCTAAGTTGGTTCAGCAAAGATAGCAGGCAAACATCAGATGTCACTTGAAAATGCATGATTCTAGCATCAAATAGATGGTGAATAGAAATATCAGTAAGAAATTTCCCAAGCACGTTACACTAATCTTCATATTTGGTGAATTCAAGTGCATGGGGCTCGGGGCGACAAGAGGCCCTTTCCCTGCGAGTACATCACAGGCAGCAACCAACATGAAAAAGCCTAATAAAATTCCTTGGCCTAATTGTTTAGAAGACTATCAAACGAATCAATGGCTTGAAAGAAATCTATTTTCAAGGATCATGACTTGTCTGTCCTAGGGAAAAGGGCCATGTACAAAAAGAGCAAGCAATATGCAAAGATATATGATCAATGGAAATTTGAGAATCCTCTTCCACACCTTATCATATATCCTATACAAACTACACGATGGTAGAATCAAACAAAAAGTACCTTAAAATGACTACTGTCTCCACCTAAGAAAACATAATCAAATTCAAGTGAGTGGAAATGGCCCAAAACCAAGTTCTGAGCTATTGAATATCACATACTTTCAAGGCCACAGACAAGCAAGTGACCTTGTATATACCCAAATATACAAACTAATAAACAGAGAAAATAAAATTGAACACGGCTTATATTAAACTTTCTAACAAATCATAGAAATACCCCCATAAAGATAAATAGAAGCAATTTTAAGGCAGGACAAAACATACAAGGAAGCGTTGATAGTCAGATAAGAAATCTATCCAGATAATCTCCATTCACTCCTTGCAGCATAGATAGAACAGAAATAAAGCTTTGATATTCATTGCAATAATCCAATTCAAGCTTTTTAAAAAAACCAACAAAAAGCGCTGATAAACAAGAGAAGACCCACCCTAAAACTTACTTTAATTAGCAAAACTGATTAAACAAAGATGTAGTAAATTCAATATCCCTCATTCTAAAGGAGTGGCGGAAGAAACTTTTACTCTCATTCTAGGGGGACTTCAACGTCGCCGTCAGAAATCTCCTGTTGAAGATCCTTAGGGTCCTTCCCATCAACAGTACAACCAACAGAAACGCAGGTCCCAAGAATCTCCTTGATGGTGCCAGAGAGGTCCTTAGCCATCGATCTGGGCTGCATAACCCTAGCAATCTCAATCACGTCATCAAGAGAAATATTGCCATTGTGTTTGATATTCTTGGTCTTCTTCCGGTCACGCTCCGGCTCCTTCAATGCCTTAATTACCAAAGCCGCCGCGGAAGGCACGACGGAGACCTTCGCCTGACGATTTTGGACGGTGAGCTTTACAGTAACCCTGAGACCCTTCCATTCCTTGGCCGTCTCCTTGGCAATGTCTTCTCCGATCTTCTTAGGGGAGAGACCGAGTGGACCAATCTTCGGAGCGAGAGAACTGGCAGCTCCGACCTCGCCTCCGGTGACGCGGACGAAGACATCCACCACCTGAGAAGGATCGAACTTCGGAGGCATGATTCGGCGGCGGTGAAGACTGGTGGAATCGAGAGATCCAACGAAGGAAACACAGCCACTGGTGAACAAACAGAGCGGCGAAGAGAAAATGGCGAGGCTTTCAGTCGATTTATGCTAGGGTTTTTCACGAGCCAACGCCATTGACGATCCACGAGCTCCAATCCATGTGTCGGCCCATTAGAAAATTGAAGCCCTAATTCCTTACTTTTTGGTTAAGCCCAGCCCAATCTATTAATTTTTTTTTCAAATGAATACTATTAATTTACCATGTGTTTTTAAATTTCGTCACTTCGTTTGATAGTGCTTTTAAATTTTATTATTAAAAAGTATTTTGAAGTCTTAAACAACGGGTTTTTAAAACTTTTCTTTTAAATTTGATAACATATATCTTTTTTTAATTTTAATCCAAGTAATTAAATAAATGAAGTATAAGCTCTTTTTTAATACAGAATGTTAAACTCAACCTTCTTAGTTAGAGGTATACGTCAATTACCGTTGAGTTATGTTCGATTTGATAGTACAAACGATAAATTTTAACCAACTACAAATTGTCATGTTATTATTTGAATTAATGACAAAATCGGAAATTGATAAATTTGGGGCTAACTACAAATTATCACGTGCCTCTAAATTGAATTAAAAAATATAAAATTTGAAAATTAAATGACGTGATGCGTTTTTCTTATAGGCATCCAATGACATAGTCTAATCGAATTGGCCCATATAGTAACTGGACTGAAACTCATATGAGCCCAAGTCAACGTAAGAAGGAATGAGGCCCAAAAGTCATATAGTTCAAGCTCATTCAAAGAATTGAGTCAAGCCCAAATATGCTTCAATCTAAAAGTTTGGTTCCAAATCAACGGAAATCGAGCCCATTTAAGGTTCACGAAATTCTATGTAGATGATTTTTTTAGTACTATACATGCGGAGTGGAATTTCAAACTCATGACCTCTTGATCAAATATATATGTTGAGTTATGTTTGTTTTGGCAGCATAGGATTATTAACACGTATACATCAATACAAAATTGAGTTCATTACTTTGAATATAACTTCTTTGAAAATACTTTTAATATAGTATCCATTAAAGGTGAGTTCGGAATGTCACGTAGACATGCGAAAAATGTTTTTAGTTAATTAGAAGCACGTTTAAATTGTCCATAGTGTTTAACTAGGCAAATTCGATGTTTAAAATTTCAAAAATATTTTAAAGTACCCAGTCGTATAGAAAAAGTATTTCAGTTAAAAGATATTTTTTCCCAAATATCATTTCAAATTTACTATTAAATCAAATAAGTTGTTAATTTATATTATTATTATTATTTTTTATTGAATGTGTGAATATTTGAACCTTTCTATTTTAAAGAATAAATTATGTCTTTATCGTTAAACTATATTTAGGTGAGATTTTGCAACCTATCTTACAAATATGAAAAAAGGGGGTGGGCCCCATAATAAGAGTGAGCGCTCACTCTTTTGGGGAGAACCACATAGAGACAAAAGAAATATTTCGGTCTACAGAAGAGGCATCTTACTCTCCTACTGACCGAATCACTTGAATCAGTTGAAGGAGGTTTCTACAGGAAGAGTTGCGACTCCACGTCGGGGCGGGCGGGGGTTCATGACGAGTGGGCATGAACTGTAACCAAACAAACAAAAGTCAGCCAACCACGAATTCTTGAACCATAAAGGGAACCACACTGTAAAATAAAGAGTATCGCTTAAAGGACCAAATCCATAACTGAGAACAATATTGAAACCACATCTTCTCATTCGAAGCATGAAAGCGGTCAGGTCACAACAAGCCAAAAGAGAGAGAAGTGGCTTTCTCGAAGGTTGGGGGTTGCTCGAAATCGGTCAAATACGAGCCCTTCTTTCTATGTTCAATCTACGGCCTCGGAAAAGTTTTTAAACTTTTCAATATTTTGACAATACAATTATTGAAACATTGAAAAAGCTACCTCATGAATGATCAAATTTGAAATAAATAAATATCATGGGGGTAATATTGACAATTACATTGAAGAAATGGTGTATTTGATAAGTGATAACTTTTGGTTTGGTAGATGCATTTATAGCATTTTAAAAACAATAATTTTGTTTAGTTTATTATTTTATCAACTGATTAATTACTTTTAATGTGGAAAAAATATGAGCTAAGATTCGCAAATAGTTCTTCTAAATATTTATTTTAAATAGTTATTCTAAATATTTATTTTTTAAGAAAATGGGTATAATTTCTTATTAAGGATATCTGGGAAATTTAATTGATGTGTTGTGAAAACGAGGACAAAATGACAAGAAAGCCAACTTCATTAGTTGTCAAATTCCCTCTTTTACCCACTGGCGATGAGATGACGTAAGCAATATAATGCTTGGAAGAAATGGCAAAATTGAAAACGACAAATAAATTAAAATTCTCCAAACCACAAACTATTTATTTCTTTTGAAAAAAAAAATCAGTTTAAAGTATTGACAAAAGTAGACTAAAATACATACCAAAGTATGTTGTCCCATTCGAAAACGATTTTTAGGGGCAAATTTTCACAAGTTAAATGGGATGTGTAGCTTCACTACTTTAATTTTTGTTTCAACTTACTTGTGTAATTTTAAAAATTTCAATGCCGTTAAAGTTTTTATATTTAGTTTAATACGTAGAGGTCAGGAATTCAAATCTTCGACTAATGCAAATGCGTTAAGGATTCCACATTGAAAATAAAAAATGACCTTACAATGATTTATAATAGACCTGCGTTATTTCTCAGTTTAGGTTTTGAGATGAAACCCTATAAATATTAATATGTTATCAGAGCTCAAAACGCTCAAACGAACAATCGGTCAAAAAATGAGATCCGACCAAGATCGATGAGCCAAAAGAGCCACGAGGGGCATGTTAAGAATCTCACATTGAAAAGAAAATAGACTTTACAATAGTTTATAATAGATATGAGCTAATCATTTTATTGTTAATTGATTTTGAGATGGAACCTCATGAATATTAATAACAGGTTGATCGATAAATCATATATTTAAACCCAAATTTACTCTAGATTTGAAATGATTTTGAAACCCACGTTAAGTATGGGTCGAGGGAAACCTAATGGCAAGATAGAGATGCCATTGATGCAAAGATATATATCTAATGACTTATTGTCCAATCATTTCCATATATATTATTGAACTTTCATTTTCTTACATTCAAACCCAAAAAAGTTAATTTAATTAGACTTTTGTTGAATAAAATTTTCAATCCAATGGATAATCATCTTCTTCGTTTTTTTGTGTTCCTTTTCTTTTTTAAACATTTTAAAGTAAGTTTCCACCCGTTGAAAACATCGATTTTTATATGTTTTATATTGTTTATATGATTTTAAAAATGAAGTAAATATTATAAAAAAAGAAAATCATTTCTTTAGTTAAAAAAATGCTTAGACCTCAAGAGAATGAGTGAATACATGTTCATTTATCGTTGAATTATGTTAATTATATTGACATTATTATACAAACCTTAGATCCTAAGCTAAACTTCAAAAATATTAGTAACTTTCGAAAACGGTTGTCTTTCTCGATTTTAAATTTATTGGTATGATTTAAAAAATGGCATAACCGACATTTAAGCTAAACTTCAAAAACATTACCAAACTTTTTTTAAAATAAATTATATATTTTAAATTTTGGATATGCTTTTTGAAAACGACATAAAGTATTTTAATAATATGAAATATAGTTACGTAGTGAAAACAATAAAATCAATTTTGAAGTTTCGAAGAGATGAATTGAAGTAAAGATTAAAGCATTTTTTAAAGAATACTTAAAGAAGATTATATCCACTAAGTTGATTTGGCTTAAGGTTAGATATGAGTACAAGAAACAAACACTTCCCTTAACTTTAAACTAACACTTGTGTTTATCCAAAGTCTAAATGCAAAAATGTTTATCATTAAGAAAAATTGTCAATTTAGGGCAAACTAGGCTATAGCATGAGGGGGAAAAAAGTCCTGCCAAAACATAACCCAATAAAACAACTTCTTTGAAAAATTCATCATATTTTATCACAACATGTCGTGTTCTCGTATAATTGCAAACGTCCTTAATGTAGAAATGATGGCATTTTTGAAGATGTGGAAAAAGAGGCGGAGGGAACGAGAGAAATCTAAAAAATTAAGTGGCAGGGTAGTGAACGTAATTTGGAACCAAAGATGATGTCAGTAAAGATTAAAAAACATAGGTTTTGCAAAAAGTGGGTAAAAAAACAATATTGTTTCGGTGAAAAAGAGCTATTAAGCCCAAAAACCCAAGATAATATAGACATTAATAAATTTGTATTATAAAATCTTCATTTTGGTTGCACTAAAAGTGGCTAAGTGTCGCACTCTTCGCTAGTAGTTGTGTATAAGTTTTGTTCGTTATTAATTATCTCGAGGAAAAAAAATTGTTGGTGCTACGATTTTTTTGGGTGGTTGTGAGGTTTGTTTTTAATTAGTATTGATTTATATCTAAGATGATAGCTAGTTAGGCTGAGAATCGAAGTATTCAAAGACAATAAGTGATGATGGTTGATGGTTTGTAAAGAAAATGAGTTTTTTTTTTCAATTTTATTTTGGTTTGTAAATTTTCAGATCAAAATTTATTTTATTATACGAGTCAAAAATAAATAAATAAATAAATTTGGCTTCTTAGGTTATTTTATCACATTTGTTGATTAATATTTACCACGCCCAACTTATATGACTCAAATATGGTTCGATATTTTAACGACCAAAAATGCTAATTTTTTAAATATACAAACAAAAATAGTACAATTATTGTAAACTAAATTTCTCCTTTCTTATTTTTTTTCATATCTATTTAGCTGTTGTTTTAATTTATTAAAAATAAATAAATAGATATACGTTTAGTTTATTATCCTCTAAAATAATTAATTAAAAAAATACTATATACTTAAAAAACAAATTTAAAATATTATATATGTTTTTAAAAATATATTTAATTTAGCAAACGTATTATAGAAAATAATAGAATAACACTTCTCTACATATTCTAGACACCAAAATCAAGAAACAAAAGATTTTAAAATTGTTTTATACAATTATGA